CTGACTGAGGGCTTCCAGCCAACTAATGATATCCCAATTGTGGAAAACACAGCAAAATATTTTAACTATTGATTCAATCATTTCTGATTTTAAAATGAGACACCAACTGTTTTATGCCCAGTGAACAGTTTTCACTGGCAACCTGACATTTCCTAATATACTGAAATGGCATTTGAGGCCAGTTGTAAAACCTGCCTTAGAGCATTTTACCACAAGTGGGATCATTAACTTGCTAATTAACTGTGCAGTAATCCACTGTGCTGTAGTACAATGCTACCAACCAACACCCCTACACATAGTCCCCTGAGGAGTGTGGTGACCTCTGGACTCCGTTTCCAGCTAATGGTGTCACTTAGCATTCACACAGCTCTCCATCATCTTATCACATCACAGCTGTTGGGGGATAACTTGGAATTGTGGTTCAATTCTTCCAGTTTGCGAAGGAGAAGACCTATGCATAGAAAAAAAAAGTTTGAGGGTCTGCACAGGTCACAAAAAAGTCTATCTCTAAGGAATTCTATGAGTTTTTTACAATGTAAAAAATTACCCCACCAGTCAGGGATGCTTGGAGAATATACAAATATTTAAATGTATTATAGTAAAGGGGGATGCCTAGATCATTCTGGAGCCCAGTGTTTAGAGAGGAGATGAACAGAAAAGGAAGGAAATCAAGGGCAGAAGAAAAGAATGAGAAGTATTGGGTAAAGAAACATTAGGGTTTCAGTTGTAACAGTGATGTGGTATATACCCAAAACAGACTCAACAAAACTGAAAAATCTGCAACCACTGAAACTTTGTAATGTGCCTGTCAAGTTGACAGGAAAGGATGGAGTGGGGGTTGGGGTGGTGAGGGAATCTGGAAACACTGGTGGAGAGAAGCTGACATTGGTAGTGGGACTGATCTTGAATTATTGTACACCTAAAACTCAACTATCAGTAGCTTTATAAATCATGGTTATTTAATTAAAAAAGTAAAAGTAAAGTAAGTAAAGGCCCTCCCATTGATCATCGATTTGCTCGAGCGGGCCCAGTAACGTCTCCATTGGAGATTTTGTTGTTACTGTGTCTGGCATATCGAATACTCTCGGTAGCTTGCCGGGCTCTCCGAGAGGGGCGGAGGAATCGAACTCGGGTCGGCCATGTTGGCTGCGTGCAAGGCAAACGCCCTACCCACTGTGCTATCGCTCCTTGTGGGATAAAATTAAAATTAAAAAAATAAATTAAAAAAAGAACTCTTGGGAATGGGATGAAGCCCAGTGTTATAGCACATGCCTCGTGTGTGTGAGGCTCTTGGTTTGATTTCTGATACCAGAAACACACACACACACTTAGAGACAACATTTGGATATTTCATTTTGGTTTATTTTGGGGCAACCACATCCAGTGATGCTCAGGGCTTATCCTATCTCAACTCAGGGATCACTCCTAGCAGGCTCAAGAGACCATATGAGATGCTGGGGATTGAACCCAGGTTGGTTGTGTGCAGGTAAGTAACCCACTGCTGTACTATCTCTCTGTCTACCCACTGCCAATTTGAATATTTCTAATTATTAAAAATCCTTGTGACAGTACAGGGGCTAATTCTCTTGCCTTGCATGTAGTTGGTCTCAATTTGATCCTTGGCATCACAAATAGTCCCCTGAGCACTGTCAGGAGTGATCCCTGAGCTCAGAGGTAGAACCAGGAGTAAGCCATGAACCCAGCTGGGTGTGGCACAAAACAAATATATATATATATGTGTATATATATGAACTTTATATATTAAACCTCTATGTATTTATTCAATACTCACTGGATATTTTTAGTGAGCTTACCAGAATTTAAGCTGCCAAGAGTATAGTTCTGAACTTGTGGATTGTCAAATGGGAAAGTCATCAATTATACAATAATCCTATATTAAGTAAGTACTATTGCAGTTTACACTGTAAAGGAGCAGTGAGGAATATAAGGGAATTAAGGAGGCCCTGTGTAGCCTGGAATAGGAAGGTTTTGTCAAGGAGGCAATGCTGACCTGATACAGAAGAAGAATTCAAGGAATATAAAAATTATGGTGACCAACTGGTTCAGCCCTTTTGGAAAACAGTATGGACACTTCTCAAAAAATTAGAAATTGAGCTCCCGTTTGACCCAGCAATACCACTTCTGGGAATATATCCCAGAGATGCAAAAAAGTATAGTAGAGGGAGCTGGAGCAATAGCACAGTGGGTAGGGTGTTTGCCTTGCACGTGGCCGACACGGGTTCGATTTCCAGCATCCCGTATAGTCCCCTGATCACCGCCAGGAGTAATTCCTGAGTGCATGAGCCAGGAGTAACCCCTGAGCACCACCGGATGTGACACAAAAAGCAAGGAAAAAAAGTATAGTAGAAATGGCATCTGCACTTGTATCTTTGTATATTCATTGCAGTACTGTTCATTGCAGCACTGCCAGAATCTGGAAAAAACCTGAGTGCCTGAGAACAGATGACTGATTAAAGAAATTTTGGTACATAAAACACAATGGAATACTATGTAGCTGTTAGAAAAGATGAAGTCATGAAATTTGCATATAAGTGTATCCACATGGAAAGTATCATGTTAAGAGAAATGAGTCAAAAAGAGAGGGACAGACATAGAAAGATTGCACTCATTTGTGGAATATAAAGTAACAGAATGGGAGACTAACACCAAGGATAGTAGAGATAAATACCAGGAGGTTTGCTCCAGGCTTGGAAGCTGGCCTGACATGCTGGGGGAAAAGGCAGCTCAGATAGAGAAGGAACCACCACGTAAAGGGTGTTTAGAGGGCCCACTAGGGATGGGAAATGTGTGCCAAAAGTAAACTATAGACCGAACATGATGGCCATTCAATACTTGCATTGCGGACCACAACACCCTAAAGGAGAGAGAGTAAAAGGGAATGAGCTGGTCACAGAGACGGTGGGGGTGGGGATTGGGGGATGGGAGGAATACTGGGAGTATTGGTGGTGGAGAACTGGCATGGGCACTTGTGGAGGAATGGGCACTTGATCACTGTATGACTTAAACATAAGCAAAGAAAATTGTAAGTCTGTAACTGTACCCCACGGTGATCCATTAAAAAATAAATTTTAAAAAACCTAAACCAACCCATTTCCAAGAACAAAGGACAAATAAAGAAACAATATTATATTTACTCAATAAAAATTACTCAAAACAGAAGGAATAAAGGGACAGTGAATCACAGCCAACAACTGGTAAAATAAATTGATCCAGAAAATTTTAAAAAATTATGGTGAAGTGTAGGAAGAGATGCTTGAATGAAGAAGAAAGTATTTGTTCCAAGAACCAAATAGGAGAGGTTGGTAACAATGCTGGTAACAATGCAGGTGGTAGGAGTAAGTAGATTTGAGAGAGTTAAATGTAACTGACAGAATTAGATGTAGTTAGGATGTAGGCGATGGGAGTAAAGGAGAATTAGGTACCACTGCCTCATATATAGATATAGGGGGTGACTATTTAGAATTATTTCAGAGGAGCTGTAGTGAGAAGTGGGGGGGGGGAAGATGCTTAGTTTCTAATTTGACATGTGGATTTTGTGTTTGTTTTCGTTTGGGGGCCACACCTGATTATGCTCAAGACTTACTTCTGGCTCTAAGCTGAGGCATCATTACTGGTGATACCACATGAGGAGAACCATATGAGATGCTGAGAATTGAAACTAAGTTGATCTTGTGCAAGGCAATTGTGGTACTATCACCGTAATCCCAAAATATATGTATTTTAAAGTCCTGTGTGATATCAGAGCCCTTGCCTTAGATGATGTAGCTGTTAGTTGCAGCCTCTAACCAAATTGGTAAAAACTGAGCCATTTCTATGGACCCCAGATAGTGTCTTTGAAAGCAGGACTAAAGGCTGGCATTGAAGGCCTTCATAATTCATACTTCATAAGCACTTCTGCATGTTTTATTTCTGAGCTCCAAATATCCTTTGGGGACAAATGGTGAGAGTCATTTTGTTCTACCAGCATGAAACTGAAGCTTCCGGTTTTTGTGACTTGACCCAGGCCATTTTTCTCTAATAAAAGATCAAATCAATCTGGCACTAAAATTCAGATCTGACTCTTGGCACAGAAGTCTTATGTTTTCTTGTTACATAATTAGGGAAAACTTTACCAAATCTACAATTGGTAGATTTCATCAACCAATACCATGGCAGATGAAATCCCACTATTTGTACAAAATATACAGGGAGTAAAATCAAAGTGGTTTTGTTTCTATAGTTGTTAATGCTCTCTTTTAAAGTCTTGAAATTATTTTAAATTTTGAACTTATGTTTGTACATATATTTAGAGAAGGTTTTTTTTCTTCTTCTTTTAAATTAGAATGTCTAGAATAAACTAAAGTAACTTGTAATAAGTAAACAGTTGTCTGGGGAAAATCAAGTTTAACTTCTGTCTAAACTGTAACAAGGAATAAAAACAATATGAAGGCCCAGTGATAGACCAAAGGGCTGAAACATCTGCTTTGTATGCTAGAGTCTCAATTCTGTAACAGCCGTCCAAGAATCACCACAATCAACTTCTGAGCACTGCAAGGTATGGCCCCCAAAAAAACCATACAAAGAAATAAATTCTAAGATCTCTGTCCCCTACACCTCCCATTTCCATATAAATACATTAAAGAGTGTGACCATCTAAAATACTTCAGTATCCCCCTGGCCCTCTCCATGAGGTACTAAGGTTAAGGCAGCCAAGGTACTAAGGAAGAGTGAGATAGAGCTGTCTGTTCCAGAGGCAGAAGAATCTTCCTCACCAGTTGCTCTTGCCCTTTGGCCTTCTCCCCTTTTAAGCTTGGGAGGTGTTTTTGTAAAGTTAATTTGTGTTTGTTCCAGATTTTGTTTTAATTGCGTCATTCTGGGTCTACACAGAAATTGAGAGTCAAAGGAACCAAGCACCCTTTCCAAAGAGTTCAGTTCTCCATTTCATTTTTTGGAAACCTCCCCCTTGAACCTCATTTTGTTCTTTACCTTTCTCCCAATAGCTCCTGGACTGTTTTGTCATCCCGGTGGTGATTTTGCTGTCCTGGTTCTTCCTGTTGATCCGGTACAAGGCTGTGCACTTCATTGGCATCGTTGTTTGCATCCTTGGAATGGGCTGCATGGCCGGAGCAGATGTGCTTGTGGGAAGGCATCAGGGAGCAGGTGAGTCTCTGGGTATTCACCACATTACTTGCTCCTAGAGCTGAGACCAAGGCAAGAAGTGAAAGTTCATGGTGGGTAGAAACAAGGAAATGTTCTTCCCAGTGACTATACATTAGTGTTGGTTCTCTCCACGAGAACAGTGACACATTAGAGGGCTTCCTCCTTGCTTCTTGGGATGGAAAGATAATAGAGGCAAGTAAGGCTTTTGCTTTGGTTGGATGTGCATATGTCCCCTGAACACCCCCAGAGGTCACTCATGAGCTCAAAGTCAAAAGCAGCCCCTGAGCATGACTGATTATGGAGTGACCTTTTCCTCACCCCCACCAAAAGCTAAAAATAAATCTTTCTTTTTCAGTGAATGAAGAAAGCAAAATGCAGGTCTTATTTCCTTTCTACATACATTCAGAAACATTTAGACTACAAATAAAAATGAGGAGAGCCAACTTGCAAAATGTTTGTGAGGCTCCAGCTACCTAACTGGACCAACTCATTAAAGAGGATGTCATTGGGTTGCTTCACTCCTAAACCCCAGGGTCTCTCCAACACCTCATGCCCCACTCCTCCAAATTATTTTCTTTGCCCACACCCAGTGGTGCTTATGAACTACATCTGGCAGTGTTTAAGGGACCATTTAAGGCCTGTGATAAAACCTGGGCCTCCTACCTGAAAAGTATGTGCTCTAGTCCATTAAAAACACACACTGTCTCCCCTCTCTCTTTCTTCTCTCTCTCTCTCTCTCTCTCTCTCTCTCTCTCTCTCTCTCTCTCTCTCTCTCACTCTCCCCCCCCAACCCCCACCTTCTGCCTCCAACTCTGTCTTCCCAATTCAGACAAAGATTAAGCTTTCAAGCTACTGGGTGAAAACTGATATACAACACTATAAGAGTGAATACTTAGATATTTAGGGAACTTGAGAGATAGTATAGAAGGTAAAGCCTTGCATATGGCAGACCTGGGTTTGATCCCTGGAACCTTATAAAGTCCCCTGAGCACCTTTAGGAGTCATTCCTGAGCTCATAGATAGGAGTAAGCCCTGAGCACAGCCAGGTGAGGCCTAAAAAATAAAAACAAATCCAAGAATGAAAACTAAATTATAAATACTGAAGATTTTACCAGGGGAGCTAAATTTAGTCTTCTCATTTATGTTTTTCGATGTTTATTTGTTTTGTGGGGAAGAATTCTGGTATCAAAGTTTGTGGATCTCCAAACTAAATTTTCAAGATTTAATCATCAATTTTTTATGAATCTCCTGGAAACCCTGATGCAAAATGGCTTCTAGACAAATAATGTTTAGATTTAAAATGCACCAAATGCATTTGCTAAAAATCTGGGGGGTGGGATATTGGAGCAGTATGATCCCCTTTGTTAACATCAGGAACAGAATAGAAAGTAACCCCAATCTTCTGTAATTTTTGTTTTTAACCTATCCTTTTAGGAAATTAGATGATTGTAAAAATTAGATCATTTATTTCTTATAAGATAAGATTATAAGAAGCACCTAAAATGAGTGACATTCACTTTAAGTTGTACAATAGGCATTTATAATTTAAAAGGTCCATGTTCATGGGTCCTTTATATTTGACATATAAGAATGCCGAAATGGGACCATTCAAGGACTTTGAGGGAGCCACCCCAAAGATCTGGTGTGTGTGGTTTGCATAATGGAGCACTAGGTTTGACCCCCAGTGCCAAATGATCCTGAGCACTGCTAGGAGCAACTCTGGAGCACTGAGCCTGGAGTAGTCTCCCTGCACTGCAGGATGTGGTCCAAAGAACAAAATGAAACAAAAGAAATCCCAAATGAAGGTAAGTCAGCTGCATCAACCAAGGTCACAGAGTTGAGAGGGTCAGGATCAGAACCTGAGATTCCAGCTGCCAGGGCAGGCTTCTGTTCCTTGCCTCTTGCTGTAAACTAAAGATTTAAAGAGAAAAGAGCAGCCTTGGCTTTCACAGCCCCCCTGCTTATGTGACAAAATCAATCCCCACATCTATCTGCAGACTGAAATGCATGCATTTTATTTTTCCTTTTCTAGGAAATATTGTTCCATGGGATAGCAGTAGATATCATATGAAAGGGTCAATTTTATGCTTTATGGATATGATGATTCTGATATTGATGGTTTCTTTGGATAAATCCCAGTATATTTATGTAATATAACATTAACCAGTTGTTGTTCAGTCACAATTAAGTTACACATTATCAGCTTCGTTTGAGCTGAGTAAACACAGACTAAGCAGAAGCATGTGCCTGTATTTATCAGACTCTGCTGAACCCTCACCATTTATACTGGCTATCACCTGGAATCCCATAGTCGAGGAAGACAATTGTTTTTATGGATTTGGGTATTTAAGCTCATAATTTTATGCTTACTTGAACTGATTTTACTTGGTTGTATTCATCAATCCTGTGAGAAAAAAACGTTCTTGGATTTTATGTGAATCTTAGGAAAAGAGTTTAAACTAGTTTAAATTCATTTATATTCATTTTACAGACCTTCAATAGTGGCCATTTTGTAAAACAATGAAAAATATCTAAAATGTACTGAAGTCTAGGGCTGGAGTGATAGCACAGCAGGTAGGGCGTTTGCCTTGCATGCGGCCCGACCCGGGTTCAATTCCCAGCATCCCATATGGTCCCCTGAGCACAGCCAGGAGTAATTCCTGAGTGCAGAGCCAGGAGTAACCCCTGTGCATTACTGGGTGTGACCCCAAAAAGCAAAAAAAATAAAAAATAAAAAATAAAAATAAAATGTACTGAAGTGGTATTTATATCTTTTTATGAATCTATTTAAGGCCCATAGCACCATCCCTTTTGAAACCTGTGGCTGGAGCCATAGCACAGCGGGTAGGGTGTTTGCCTTGCACAGGGCCAACCTGGGTTCAATTCCTCCACCCCTTTCAGAGAGCCTGGCAAGCTACCAAGAGTATCTCACCCACGCAGCAAAACCTGGCAAGCTCCCCATGGTGTATTCAATATGCCAAAAACAGTAACAACAAGTCTCACAATTTGTTGTGAGACGTTACTGGTGCCCGCCCAAGCAAATCGATTAACAATGGGAGGACAGTGACAGTGCTACAGTTAAAAAAATCAAAATTTTGGCTATGGGGATAATTTAAAGGTTGAGCATATACCATCAGTGGGAGTGGTACCTCCAGCACCACATGGTATTCCCCAGAATACCACCTGGAGTGACTCCTGAGAACCCACCCAAAAGTAATTCCTAAGTACAGCTGGATGTGCTCAATCCCCACCCCCCAAAAATTATAGCTTATTATTGTAAAGTATCTTTAGAGCTAATTTAATGGGATCTATATACATGGTATAATGTTTTAAGGGCAACCCAAAGGTAGGATATCAGGGATCATCTTATGGTGTAATGATTAGAAATATTTTATCTCTATAAAAACATTAAATAAGGTAGCAATTAAAACTTCAGTTTATATAAGCTAATATAAAAAAGGAAAAAATCAGATCTGGAGTGATAGTACAGAAGGTAGGGTGTTTGCCTTGCACATGGCAACTGACCCAGGTTTGATCCCCAGCACCACAAATGGTCCTCCCAGCACAGCCAAGAGTGATTCCTGAGTGGAGAGCCAAGTGTAACCTCTGAGTATCACTGAGTGTGGCTCAAAACAAATAAAATAAAGCATATCATTGTGGTTTTGAGGTTAGTATAATTTGCAACTTGGTAGACATCATCATAAAATATTTTTCATTTACTTTTACTTTTACAGAAGTTTATTCAGTTGCATTAATTTGCCAGCAACAGAACTTTATAAAATAACTCAGGCATCCACCATGACTTTACTCAGGCATACACTCAATAAAAGTTGCTATCATATAAAGAGATTTTTAATAGGGAAAGAGAATAGTTGTCTTGATCCTTTCATATTGTTTGGTTCACTTTATCTTAGGATTCTTAAAATTCTGTCTTCAGGCAGATTGGGATTGGGCTGTTCCAATTTACTTTGATCTTATGGATGCAATTACTCTAATTCTGCTGTGATAGAATGCTTATTTTTATCAACTATCTAAGAATTCTTCATTTTGTTTTAAATCTTTCTGAGGGAAACCTTTCAGATGACATTAGGTACTCCAAATACAACTATAAATGTCAGTGCACAGAACATGTGCCACAAATAATGTTTTTAGTTAAAAAAAAAAAAACTTTACCAGTAACTTCACTCACTGTGGACAGAAGTGGAAAGAGGATCCCAGTGGCTTTGGAGACTGTACCAATGGAGTAGCATGCAAAATGGGAAAACTCAATTATTTGTGTTTTGATTTGGTGCTTGTCACAATACAACTGATCACTCACAGTCGGAAGCTTGAGTTCACTTGAAGGGAGATATCTTTTCCAACTTTGTCAAAATCAATGGGCCTAATGTGTACATTGTCTCTATAACAGCATTATTGGCTTTCCTAAAAATACAGACCATCTCTTTGTTAACTGTTGGAGGAGAGGAAAAGATAAGGAGGGGAAGAGACAAGGAATAGAAATGACTCCTAAGAATGTGGTAAATGTTGGGGTGTGTACGGTTGCTTAATACAATCCTCTCCATTGAATTTAAACTTTTTCTCAGAAAATGTGTAGTTATGAAAGGGAAGATTGGAAAGTAAGAGTATTGGGCTGGAGACAGTACAGAAAGTAAATCGTGTGTCTTTTTTTTTAAAAAAAATTATTTTATTTTTATAAAATAGTTCACAATATTTGATTACATTTAATATTGAAACACCAATTCCACCACCATTACACCTTCCCATCACCACAATTTGGATGTTTGCATTCTGAACCCCAACCTCTGCCCTAAGGCAGAACTGAAATAACTTATTTTGTATTGTTTGTTATGAATAAACTGCTGAAAATGTTCCAAAAAATTTTCCTTAGAGGAAAGTGTGTAAAGATTGTTGTATTTCACCCAGGGGTCATTAAGCCCTTCTATAAGAGATCACTAACATGTTGTTAAAGGTTGAGCCTTGTGTGCATATACAACTCAAGG